GGGGGGGAAGGTAGGTTTCCATTTACTCTCATGTGTTCTGTGGATTTCTGAAACTCCAGTTTCAAATCAGTTCTTCTTTGGAGATAATAGGTCGTTTGCAGTGAAGCAGTGCCTGAGAGCAGCATGTCTGACACCAGGGTGACAGTGATCTGTCACTGCCCAGAGGGGGAGGTAGTCTCAGCCTAGAAGGGCAGCTAGCATCAGTGGAGCCAGCTGGGGACTCTGGGGCCATCAGCAAGCACCCTGCCCTCATCAGGAGATGAGTTCAGAAGCAGAAAGAAGCGTGGACAGCGCTGGGGGCCAAAGCAAGGCAGGCAGGGGGAGCCCCAGCGAAAGCAGGCTGTGGTGGGTCCTGTAGCACAGCTGTCTGCCGAGGGGAGAGAACAGCTCTGAGCCACAGGGTGCTGGCCACGGCAGGGGAGGGGAGCCTGAATGCATGGGATGCCCGCATGGCTCAGCCAGGCCCCTCCAGGGCTCACCTGCACCCCACCAAGCACTGGACACCCCCTGACTTCCTTCAGAGGTTCAAGAGGGAAAAATGCAGATAGTGTCTATACTAGTCTTATGAGATTTCAGACCCAGAGCAATTGCTTACTTTGGGTCAAGGATTCATTCCTCTTGTTTGTGGTTTTAGAAGACCTTTGCATTACAACTTGCTCCAAACTTCCCTTCTCTTAGCCAGGAAAAAACAAACTTCGTTGTGTATGACAATTTCTGTAGTTTTACTTCAAGATAATTTTCATTAAATCTGAACTTACTTTACTTGAGGTGCATTTTATAATATACGTGATTTGATGAGCAAAGGATACGCAGAATGTGGAAGGCGCGGTAGTCACAGCTCCAAGTGCACTATCTATAGACATGCCCACTTTTTGAGAAACCACCTCAAAGGCCACCTGTTCCAATCCCTCCTCCACTTGGTGGTGAGAGGCCCCTGCCTCACACAGCCCTGCGAGCAGCGCAGGTGGAGCGGGGGGTGGGGGTTCTGGGCAGAGAGAAAGCCGGGTTGGACCACCACCCAGGATGCCTAGAGGAGCTGCTGCGCTGCTGCAAGTGTGGGGTCCTTGCACAACTCCATAGTGCAAAACCTGTCTCGCTCCTGCTCCTGCAAACCCCTTGTAAACTCTGAGACCCCACGTGGGTGAGCAGAGCCTTCCCTGGGTGCAGGCCTGCCTTCTCTAATTGTCACCTCACTTTGCACAGATGTGATGAACGGAATTTTAATACGCTGTTTGAGTGACACCAATCAAAGTGATATGCAAATGGCAGAGCCCAGAGACCGTCTAAGTGCCAGGAAGCAGGTGACAGAGTAGGCAAGGGATGGGATACACTGTCACCTTAGGGATGTGCGTATACTAGCAGAGGGTCACCTGGCCCTGGCCCTCCTGCCTCCTGAACCTACTGAAATATTCCTTACTCTGCTGGGGTGCATGAGATAGTGGGCGCCTGGAAGCCAAGGCGTGCAGGCTTCCTACTGCGGGACCCCCTCTGCTCCCACATGCCCCCCCAACTGGATGCTGCCCCGCTGGCACTGGCCCTCCGGCCATCAGCACTCCCTGATACCGCTGGGGAGGAAAGGGTTGCCTGCAGACCCACCTGCTTCTGCTTTCTTTGCTTGGATCTTGTCAAATTTCAGCAGCTGTGCTGCCTGCACAAGGAACACCATTGTTCTCGGCTTCAGCGTGGTGGGGAGGCGTCCCCAGAAAAACAAATGCCCAGTGCGCGGCCGTGGCAGCTTCCTGTGGCTGAGAGGCTGTCCGTGTGCCTGCGGATGGCACAGCGCACGGCACACAGCGCACAGCGCACAGCACACAGCACACAGCACACTGCCGAGAGACGTGCTCGTGACTGTGAGCAAACGCTGACCCCAGCAGTCAACAGGCTCCACCAGGTGCCTCTGAAATCAGTTAAAGTGCCTTTCAACCTGTGCTGAGCCTTTTGGGGGTGGGAGGGCATATTTAGCCCTTTCACTTGGCAAACATCTACTTAACAATTATGGTAACCCTGGAAGGTTCTGCTCCATCGGCTGTGTTGGTGTGACAGTCCTGTCCATGGCTTTCGGGGTGACGGTTAGCAAACACCCTCGAAGAAGCCATGGGGTATAAGCTGCACCTGCCTGCTTCTGGCACGTTCACACCTATGGCTACCGGCTCGTTTTGAGCAACACAACCAGCCCCGAACCAGCCGCGTTTGGAGTTTCCACATAAAATTGAAGGGAAGATGCCACCAGTTGTGAGACTGGGGACTTGGTGCTCCCAACCCTGGATACTGACAGATTCAGTGGCCACTGGGGCAGTGTCTAGACCGGGGCAGCTCCCGTGCTTTCTCCCTTTTCCGAGGAACAGTTTGCTTGCCCACTGT